GACTCAGCTGCTTGAATTGAGTTGGGCAGGTCATTCCACCAGGAGGGAACAGTTCATGTAAAAATGATTGCATTAAACATAAAAAACTGTGTCACTGTTGCTTTTAATTAGGTCTCCAGTGTGTTCATGTTTTTACTCATGTTCTTACTGGTTACGTAATCACCATGGACCAGTGGTAGTTTGAAGGTGTTTACCAGCCGGAAAGTTTGCATTGGCAAGCTGTTTCGAACTCCAAATGAACTTCGTTTTGGCATGATTTTGTTCAAAATGACATCAGACCAGTTCATTCTTTTATCTTGCTTGAAGTATATTAAGGCCTTTATTCACACCTTATGTTTTCCCAAACCTGTAATGCTGTTTCTAAGCAGAATTCTGATGAATCTGCATACAATTTTTTCCATACACTCCTAAAAATAAAGATTCTTCATTGGCATTGGAGGTTCCATGACCAGCCTTTAATATCCATGGAGGTTTTCCATAGGTATTTTTACAGTGGAAAAGAAGTTCTTTAGATGGTTCTTTTATTGAATTGCTACTTTCTTAAAAATAAAGGTTTGATACTGGCATCAATAGTTCCACGAGGAACCTTTAATATTCATGGAACCTTTCCATTCCACAAAAGTTTCTTTATGGTGGAAAAAGGTTCTTTAAATGTTTTAAATGTTCTTCACACTAAAATAAAATGTTCACTGAAAGGTTCTTTGAGGAACCCAAAATGGATCTTCTAAAGTCTATAATGACCATGTCTAAAAACCAAAAATAAAAGCGGCATTAAAATGGTCCATAAGACTAATATTACAAATAAAGTGTTACAATAAATTAGTTTGAGGAAAAACAGAATCAGTCATTTGAATTACTGAACCAAATCAACCAGAAAGGAGCAGGCTCATTAGAATGATTCTTTAATATACGGTAAAACATGCTGGGGTTCAGAATTTTCATTTTTGGGTCAATGGTTCCAGACACCTGATTGTTAACATCACATTCCTGTTTTTGTTAGGTTGGTCATCGAGACCTAGAGGACATACTGAAAGACATCGACTTAAATGGAGATGGCCACGTAGATTTTGAAGGTAAGAATAGCACTACATAATAATAATAAAAAAGCAAAAGCAGGATACAGATGCACAGTAGCTTTCAGTTAAAGTCTGTGTATTTTTTTTCTGTCTGTCCCTTTTAGAGTTTGTGCGAATGGTGTCCCGCTGAGAGGGCAACGTTCATATGGTGTCTCCAACAGAAGAAAGTGAGATGCTGTACTGCTTCCTGCTGGTCAAAGCGGACAGACTATTAGACTACTGCAAGAAAAGCCTTGCTGAGCCAGTGCATGGTATAAAAACAGAAAACTGGACTTTTTGGAGAAAAAAAACTCACACACACAAACAAAAAAGTATACACTTATACTGTAGCCAAGAGTCTCTGCACTTTCAACCATGCAAGACCAAACAATATATGATTTTTACATGCAGATTTGAAGGAGAGTACCATGCTTGATTATGGCAATATTACATTAAAGGGGTCATATGACGTTGCTAAAAAGAACATTATTTGTGTATATGGTGTAATGAAATGTGTTTATGTGGTTTAAGGTTCAAAAACACATTATTTTCCACATACTGTACATTATTGTTGCTCCTCTATGCCCCGCCTTTCTGAAACATGTCGATTTTTACAAAGCTCATCGGTCTGAAAAGCAAGGTGTGCTCTGATTGGCCAGCTATCCAGTGCGTTTTGTGATTGGCTGAATACCTCAAGCGTGTGACGGAAATGTTACGCCCCTTGCCATATTGTGATGCCGTGTCCCGGCCAATAATACCCATTACAAACTAAGCATTTTTGCATCCAGTGGGGACATACCGGATTGTCCCGAATATAAGACGATGTATTTTTCTTGGAAATACATCTGAAAAAACACGGTCGTCTTATATTCAGGGTCTAGACTTTGACATGTCAATAATACACCCACAACAATACGTGGCGCTGTAAATACGTAATGTAATGCGTGTTGTAAAGATCGCGAGTGAAAACAAAAGAAAAAGAAAAGCTTACAGCTGCATTTTGGTTTTTAAAAAGCCTTTTTCCAAAAGGTACATCTGGAAAAAGGGGGGTCGTCTTATTATCAGGGTCGTCTTATATTCGGGCCAATACGGTAATTACTGATTATAATGACTTATACTGTTTTTTAGCATTGTGTATCGTGCCGCACAAACATAAAACCATGTCTGCATTTGTGATCGGAGAAACGACAAACAACTAGCACTGCTCTAGACTGCTCAAAACTCACGTTTGAATCATCGGTGGCAAATTCTTTAAATATGAAAAACATACTTACAGTCTGTGAGTCAGAAGCGCCAGACTGTTGGAACTGCCCAACTTTATAGAAACACCCTTTGTGTGTAGACAGCATTGTAGTCTACTCTCCAAGGATCAGGAAACAGTCCTCCATAAAACGCGCTGCACACATCTGAATATTTGGGTTGAAGTGTTCTGGAACAGTGTTGTAAATACAACTGAACCACTGATTTCTAGTCGTGCCAAACAAAGTAGTTTCGCTTTCACAATGAAGCACAGCGTCTTCACGACATGGCGGCAGCAACAACAAAACTACAGCGAGAATAAAAGTTGCGTCTTCTTTCTTTGCGTGAACATTTGGGCGGCGTTATGCAAATCTTCCCACACAGTGACGTAGACATGTGGGGGCGTGTTCGAACGAGCCGTTTTAGGTAGGCGTGGTTGACTCTTAACTTTTATAAAGAATATCTCTTTGGATTTGAGACTTTAGTCTTTGCAACTTTAGGGATCGAACAGCTTGTAACACTACGAACAGCTTGTAACACTCCAAAGAGAAAGGAAATTTTGAAATTGCATCATATGACCCCTTTAAGTGTTGTCCCTGTTGACCCATATATGTGTGTCTCTTTGTAATAAGTTGGAAGAAAAAGAAAATGGAGCCCGGTCTCATGAAAATGCGTATAAATAGTACGACAAATAAAAACGAAAACACGTGGTATTGATATGCAAAAATGGACTTTGGCGTGTATATGCTACGCAAGTGTTTGGCGTGCATATAATACGCATCTACCCCACAACCCTATTCCTACCCATCGCGTAGTAGCATATACACGCCAAAGTTCATTTTTGCATATCAATACCACGTATTTTCGTTTTTATTTGTCGTACTATTTATACGCACTTTCATGAGATCGGGTTAAGAAAATGATGTCTGAAAGTTATTCTTTTGTTTGCAGTAATGCAACGGCGTAAATGCATTGACTTCCAGATAATATGTTATATAAGTCAAGCTCAGCTACCTAACTCCATTTGTTTGTCTTTGTCAAACAATTTGCCTGTTTCTATTCTTAATTCACAGTGCATGCCTTTAAAACAAATATAAACCACTGTGCAAGATAAACGGAACGGAATTTTGTTGCTGGGTTAACTTTAGCCTCTATAGTTTTAAAGAGTGGTTTCTAACTTTAGAAATGTTTGATTCACTATTTTTAGTTATCATGACATACTTGTCAGGAAACTAATTTAAAGAGCACAGTTTCACTCTACACAGGCTTATTTGAATCCATGCACAATATCCAGATATTACAAACATTCAAAACCCGATCACTATAAGCTTAAGAAACAGATTTATTTATTTGAACTGATTCTCTTCATGTCTGTTTGTGTGACCAGTGTCAGAGACATCTGTAGTCTGAATTGTTTTCTGACTAGATTCTTGCATGCCAAAAGACCTTCATATGTAATATAGTGGTTTTAATACATTGTAACAAGACAAGCAAATAAAACCGTGTCTAGTAATAGCATATATTTTTCATCACCACGTTTGTGTAAGCTTCATTACTCTATTAGTTCCTCCAAAGTTCAGGTTTGCGTACACCTCCTCTGATTCTGAAGAAATGCTATTTGTATAGCCTATCCACCTTAGGGGCAGTAATTTTACTGGTGTCTGTTCTGCTGTTCTCCAAATCATTCAGCAGCGAGCATCACTTTCCCAGCGGCTGGAACAGACTGTTCGTGTTGTCATGGCAACGAGCCTTTTCCTCCGGACCAAAACGGGACAGAATTCTCCTGCCTTTCATTGTGAATGCAGATAGAGAGACCGAAAACTAACGCCACCGTGTGGTCAAAACAGGTTATTGACATCATGATGGTCTTTATGTAGAAGCGTATCCATTTCAGTTTTAACCATGTAAACATTTTTTTTATTATTATTGTATTTAATTTGAGCCTAGTTTTTTGCGCCATATTTAATATTAATCACAAAAAGGAGTTGGGTCATATCAGGGGCTACTTAGTCTAACAAAATATGCCAAAAAATAAGCTCACTAGATATAGGCTCACTAAAAAAAGCCTATATTTTGCGTTTTTTAAGAAATTTCATTTATAAAGGAATGAATAATTGCATTAATTAAATTAAATAAACTTCAATAAAACATACATCCCGCAAGACATACATTGAAATTCCTGGATATTAATGTATATTTACAATAATTGCATTATTAATAAAGAAAATTAAGTTATTTTTACATACAATGTGTACATAATTACATGAAAAATAAGTTTATGAGATACTTTCTATTTGATATGATTATACTATGAATTATCATTATATAAGTAATAATCAATAATTATAAGTAAGAGAAGACGAGTAATATTTTTCTCTTTCTTTATGTTGGTCATTATTTAAAATAAATCCGCCTAATCCCGCCCACCTTTCGCTGCATGCACCAAGTACCAATGAACTGAAGCCAGCAAATTTATGCGAGGAAGCGAGTGAAAGTTGATACACTTGATTCGCTGCTTCTGGACACTTCCACCGATCGTGATTGGTCAGAGCACGCCGGACTTGACTCGATTCTTTTCACAAGCAAATCATCAAGCAGAACCTGTTATTTGGCTTTGCGTGATTGGCTACATTTCGCAAAGTCCCGCCCCCTCCGGAACCTGACTATCAGGTTAGTCTGTCTCCCCTTACTGTTCCGTCCCTTCAACCTGCGCTGCACACATACCCGTAGTACTGACGCGGCCCTCCCGGTCAGAAACGGCTGTGATTTCAGGCGCAAGAAAGCGCAGAACACCTGTACCGAGCAGTATACAAGCGCAGAATAACCACGCTGTTAACGTCTCTGAAGCGAGAGCGAGCACACGCCGCACAGGGGTGCAGATGTGAGGGAATATACCTGCAGACTACAGCTGCCACACTGATGACAGAGCGAGAGGGAAGTCAGATAGCCAGCTAACCAGCCAGAGCTAAACTCGACCACCAGGAGGGTAAATGTGCGGCGATCTGCACGGTTCAGCGACAGCGTGCAACCCGAGCATCTGAACGGAGCCGGCCGTCCACTACAGAGAGAGCGTTTCTCAGACTGCACAGTAAGAGAGACATAAGTGTGGGCTTATATTGCTTTGGGCTATTCACACATTAAATTGTTAACCCAGAGGGCCATTCTAGACCCTAGAACCATTTTCAAATGGTCACACTTTTCTTCGCCTTATGTTAGGTATTAATCCTGGGTATTTGGGTATTCAGATCTCACACTGTACTTTTGTATATCCTGGGTTAATCTTCTTATTTGCATATGCATGATGTCAGTAACCCCGATTGGACGAGTACGGCTCGCCTTATTTTAATAACTGTGTTTCTGTGTCAGTTTCGCAACGTTAAAAAGCTAGAAATTAAAACACAAATAATGTAGTTTATCACTCCATCTGTCGTCATTATTTCACATCTTTCTGAAGCTAAACAGCGCGTGAAAGTTTCTGCAACTGTACAAGCTGTATGAATATGTAATGAGGTGAGCTGCGAGGCAGTTTGTGATTGGTTGTTTGTTGCTAAAGCACGTGTTGACACTTTCTAGCACATTGTTGTTTGACTCAATACTCCTTCAGTACTACTTTAGTATCATCTAACTGCCTCCTCATTAAGAAAAAATCTATTCCTTCACTTTTTCTGTTCTCCTACTACCGTTATTCCTTCCTGTACTAGCTATGGAAGCCCGTTTCCGCCACTGAATAAAAAATAAAAGAGGTAATTCCTTTTTTTTCTCAGAATTGCGTGATACAAACTCGCAATTGCAAGTTTAAAAAGTCATAATTGAGAGATATAAAGTCGCAATTCTGAGAAATAAAGTCAGAACTGCGAGATATAAACTCACAATTCTGACTTTTTTCTCGCAATTCTAACTTTTTTTTCTCAGAAATATGAAATATAAACTCGCAATTCTGACTTTTTTTGGAAAAAAATCGGAATTGCGAGGGGAAAAAAGTCGGAATTGCGAGGAGAAAAAAAAGTCGGAATTGCGAGGAGAAAAAAAGGTCGGAATTGCGAGGAGAAAAAAAAAGTCGGAATTGCGAGGAGAAAAAAAGGTCGGAATTGCGAGGAGAAAAAAAAAGTCGGAATTGCAAGTTTTTATCTCGCAATTGTGACTTTATAAGTCGCAATTCTAACTTTATAACTCGCAACTGCAAGTTTATATCCTCCTGAGACCCAGCTATGGAGTTTTTGCCTCTGTAGTGTCCTCTACAGAGGACATAGCATAACTTATGAATAAAACATAATTTTTAAAAAATTTTACTTTACAATTTTTTTCTTATGCTCTAAACAATGTAATGTAATGACATGAAAAAATACTAAATTCACAAAGCTTTTTATTTCTGGTTCTCAGGAGGATATCTCACAATTCTGTGAAAAAAAAGTTAGAATTGTGAGATAAAAAGTCGCAATTACCTCTTTTATTTTTTATTCAGTGGCGGAAACGGCTTCCATACCTAGCCTTTGAACAATAACTGAAACCTTGTATAACAGGCACTTCTCGTGTTTATTGCCATCTTCTGGTAAATTGCTTGTATTCCCCAATTGTAAGCTGCTTTGGATAAAAGCATCTGAAAAAGTTTTTGGCATTTACCAGGCTAACCCAGGGTTAAAAGTGATGCTGACTCAGTTTAAATTTAACCCAGGGTTAAAATGGCCTTTCACCCTGCGTTTAACACGGTGTTAAATTCGTTGTAAACCCGGCTTAAGCACAGGGTGTAAAGCGCTCCTGAGTGTCAAACTCATTGCATCGACTTTTCGAATGACTTCCTTACATACCCCTTTTCCCCCTTCCCCCCCCTTTTTTATTTTTTACTCTTTCACTTTTCCTCTCGGACTGTAGGCTATGAGGCGGGTGACATTGGGCTGTGCTGCCCGGCTCGTTTTCGCAGCTTTGTGGCTGTTGGTGGAAGAGTGTCGGGCTGAGACCGGGGCCCCGAGTCTGGCCGAGCGGGTCATTTGGGCTGTAAACGCCGGTGGGGACGCACACACAGATGTACATGGCATTCATTATAAAAAAGATCCACTCGAAGGAAAATTGGGGAAAGGTGAGTACTTGAGGATTTGACAGCTTGCAGAAGAGTGGGTTATTTTTCCTTCCTAGCCCTAGAAGGGGTGGCAGTTGTTTGTGGTGGTGGTGGTGAATTAATGAACAGTTGTCCATGTCCTGTGTAAAGAATAAAGCCCCGTCCACACCAGCGAACGATATCGTCTGTTTATTCTCAGCGCACGTGCGTCTGCCTCTTTAAATTCTTGAGCTCGTTACAGCAGGATGGATTCTGATTGGCTGTCTTTTTTTTTTATCGTTCATCAGCTGGAAAAAATCGTTTTGAAAGCGATTCCAATTATATCGTTTCTCTGTGCCTTTATCGTTATAGTTGTGGTGTGGACTCTGCTATTCTTTAATATTGAGAACGATTTTTATAACTATATCTTTATCGTTATCTTTATAGTTATCGTCCTTGGTGTGAACGGGCCTTAAGATGGAATAAAATTTTCAGCAGCAGCATTGGCTCTGATTTACATTTTTTTCTCAAATCAGTACAGTACAAACCTAAATGGTATTGCTGTGTATGTACCATTTTAAAAGTGGTAATTCAACCAAAAATGAAAATTAAATGAATACGGGTGCCTATTTGTATTAAATGTGCACTTGCAGTGTACTTCATATCTTAAAAGGATATTTTAAAAACTGTACTTATAATGTAATATTAATAAAGTTAAAGGCCACTTAAGTGTGCTCAAAGAGATTTTTACTTTAAAAAAAAAAAAAAAAACATTTTAAAGTACATTTTTACCATGTGTTTGTATTACTTTTAAAGTAAAAAATGCATCGTCAAAAATTTGTAATTACAAATATATTTAAATGTACGTGCACACACTAATGACTCTGATACATATAAGTTTCAGTAGAAATGACATTATATTTTAGTTACCATATATGCTTGTCAGTACATTCACTTTAATCGATTTTTTCCAAGATGTTAGAGGTAATCATGAAATTGCATAAAAAGTTCTTCTTAACTAGCCCATAGTTCTAGCGTTCTATAGTTCAACTAATTGCATTTGATATAAATTTAAACTATAATAGATTTATTTTATTGTAAATAACATGCAATTAAGTGTCCAAAAACATTACATTTCGTTCACACTTAAGTATATTCTTTTAAAGTGTATTATTTATGCAATGAGTACTATTTAAAAGTATGTTAAAGTGTACTTCTTTTTTTTTTTTTTTTTTTAAACCCATATGGTTTTCTTTCTTCTACGGAACACAAAAGCAGATGTTAAGCATAAGCATAACACATTCACTTTCATTAGATGGAAAAAGGTAAAAGTGAATGGTGACTGAGGCCTCTTTTGTGTTCCTCTGATAAAAAGAAAGTCATATTGATTTAGAAATTTGAGGGTGAGTAAGTGATGACAGAATTGTCATTTAAGCGAACTTATCCCTTTAAGAATTAAAAAATATCAATGGTATTTTGTTGGAACTCTAGTTGTTTTATTACAGTCTGATTTTATATTGCATTAAGAATGTTAATCATGCTATATTTTGAAGAAAAGGACTGGTTGTCAGCTCATCTGACTCATTAGCTGTTTGTTATTAGAGCTGTCGATCATATCAGGAAGTCTGTGTCACTTGAAATGTGATGACTGTCACTTCCTGAGTCAGATGAGAAATGCAGCATGCACATGTCAGGGCCTGTATAGTGCTTTTTAAAGCTCTGTAAAGAAATCAAGCACCATGTGTTTAGTCAGATTTCACATTGTTGCATCAGTGTCACCAGAAAACGACCAGTATTATAAGTGTGGTACTTAATTTTCCACTCAGCTCTACGTTGGCTATAAATAGATCAATCTTGCTCTGGTTTGAACTTTCTTTTGCATGTTATGAAACACAAAATGCCATGTACGCTTACTATATATACTTAAACTCACCTTTTGGCTCTTTTGCCCCCCCCCTCTCCAGCATCAGACTATGGTGGCCGTCTGGCAATCCTGCGCTCCAGCCCGGAGGATCAGATTCTTTACCAGACAGAGCGATACAACGAGGATACATTCGGTTATGAAATACCCATAAGAGAAGAAGGAGACTACATACTGGTCTTGAAATATGCTGAGGTTTACTTTGCCCAGTCTCAACAAAAGGTGTGAATTTTGCTCATAGCTGCAGTGCACACGCTCACTCTTAGTCGATATTTGAGCATGGCAGTGTTTAATAATTCAGAATACTCCAAGGTCTCTATTTTATAGTTTCTCTCATGACATCATCTCTTTCTCTCTTCTGCTTTCTTTTCTTGTCTTTTGAAACCCTTCGTTCGCTCTTCTCAGGTTTTTGATGTGCGTTTAAATGGCCACGTTGTGGTGAAGGATCTGGATATCTTTGATCGTGTGGGTCACAGCACGGCTCATGATGAAATCGTGGTATTCTCAATAAAAAGAGGAAAACTAAGTGTGCATGGGGAAGTTTCCACTTTTAATGGGAAACTCACAGTAGAGTTTGTTAAGGTAAGTGTTACACTATTTTCCTATTGCCCTATACCTAAACAGTGCTCAAGAATCAGCATTTTCAGCATATTTTACACTACCATTCAAAAGTTTATAGTGCGTAAGATTTGAAAGTGTAAGTATTTAATGCTTACCAAGGCTGCATTTATTTATTTGACCAAAAATACAGCAAGAACAGTAGTATTGTGATGAATTATTTAAATTTAATGTAACTTTTCTATTTTAATGTATTAGAAAATTTTATTTATTACTGTGATGCAAAGCTGAAATTTCATAATCATTACTCCATTCCTTCAGAAATCATTCTAATATGTTAATATGCTCCAGAAACTTTCTCCAGAAATGTATTAATATCAATGTTGAAATCTGCTTAAAATGTTTGTAGAAACCTTGATTTTTTTTTTTTTCAGGATTCTTTTATGAATAAAAGTTTAAAAGATGAGAATTTATTTGAAAAAGCAGTCTTTTGTCACATTGTAAATGTGTTCACTGTCACTTTTGATCAGTTTAATGCATCCTTGCTGAATAAAAATATTAATTTCAAATAGTTTTGAATGGAAATGTAGATTTACCAGCCCTTCAAGATATTTTTCTGATGAACAGAATGCAGTTTTTCCACTTCAGCATAGTAAAATCCCTTAAAGCGGACATACCTTAATGCAGTAATAGCTATACAGTCGTCTTTTATTGAATAAACCAGACATTAACCAATCTAATAAGCCATATGTATTTTCTTTTTTGCTAAAGGAACATTAATTGAAAATGGGAATGTAGTTATGTAGTTACAGACACTGAAGCTTAGTGTTTCCAAGAAGATGAATTCTGTCAAAACTAATTGTGGTCCCTCTGAGCGTTTTTTTTGTTCCAGTAGTGTAATTTAATTGATTATTTCAGAGCTGCTCCTTTTTCTTATGTAAACAGCAAACGTGTTTGGCTTGTGGGGTTTCTGTCAGCGATTAGTCTCAGAGGAACCATGCACATTGAGCATGACTGCAATCCAGAAGGAAGATGACATTAATGGATATGAGGATGCAACACACATTAGCTTGTCTGTCAGTCATAAAACATCTCATTCTTAAAATGAATCATTCTGATGCTTTTGCACCTGCGTTGCCTTGACAAATTGTGCCAGAACTGTTTAGCAAGTTCTTTTTAGATTAGGCAGCATACGTAGTTTGACCACTAACTCTGCAGTGTTGCATAAAACAAAATGTTTTTGAGGTTCGAAGCCGAAACCAATGGTGCAGAGAGCCACAGGACTGACCCTGTGCACACCTCAGCCTTTTATTCACTGTTAGAAACCCTGCAGGCCAACCGCCGCACAGAATACACTAGAATCAATTTGAATATTTTCCCCATGTGTTTGCATGCATTCATCCACTGTAAGCAGCAAACTATAATCTATCTATCTCTTATGTCCACAGGGTTACTATGACAACCCCAAGATATGTGCACTATATGTGATGAAGGGCAAGCTAGAGGGTAAGAGGGACCCCTGGGATTGATTGGGTTGCATCCTCAATCAAGTCCAGTCCTGCTTTTTTTATTATAATTTTTTTGCACTTTCTCCAAGTAACAGCCTTTGGTGTGTTTGTAGATGTGCCTAAACTGCAGCCACATCCTGGACTGGAAAAGAGAGAGGAAGAGGAGGAGGAAGAGGACGACGGGGAGGGGGGAGAAAGCGAAAAAAAGAGCACCTCCACCTCTCCCAAGAATCCAGTTCGGTCCGGGCCGCGCACCCCCAACCCGTACGCCACTGATAACAGCAGCCTGATGTTCCCTATTCTAGTGGCGTTCGGGGTCTTCATCCCAACCCTCTTCTGCCTCTGCCGCCTGTGAGGGGAACAAGTGAACGAGAGGGAGAGAGAGGAGAAGCGACGGACATCAGGCTGTGAAGGGGTGGGGGGAGGGGCACAACGAGGGATGCACAACTGTGGGGAAAGGCAGAATATAGACTGACATTACAACAGATGGAGAGAGAGAGCAAAAGGCGGACGAGAGACATGCAGAAACAAGAAGGTTTCAGATATTGCTGGGTGACCCGGAAAATACAAGGATTTCGAGCGCGAGTTCATTTTATGTGTGTGTTTGTGCTTGTGTTCGTACACGTTTGATGCTAATTTTAGTTTGAGGAGATCCTGAGAGATACTGATTAAATGCACTTGCACACACATATGCAGCAGGACTAACCACTTTACAAACCTGGTTTGTCTGGTCTAGCAGGAGATGGAGCTGGAGACACTCCTAGATCACGTGTCCCAACTCATGGAAAGTTATTGGCTAGGAGTGTTTTCTGATCAGCGGTGGCACTGATCTGCTGTTTTTTGGCCTCTGGTGGGAGGCAGAAATGGTACATGAATTTTCAGAACCTGAGTTTGACTCCTTGATCATTTGGTTAATGCATCTAAATCTCAGTGGCAGATCATAAAGTGATTTGAGACCTTGGTTTCTAATTACCTCACGTTTTATTTCCCTCACATTCACTCATTCATTTCCTGCGGCTTCATTTCTTTCTTTGATTTAAAAAGCATAAATATTCAAAATTGTCTGGTGACTTGCTTTCTCATTCTTCAGTTGCATATTTTCAGACCACAGCACCATGTCTTTGAATCTCGAACTGCACAAGGGAGATATAATTATTTTTCCCATTTACAGGGACTTTTTGGTCTCTGAATAACCGCATGTGTTCGGTATTTAATAAAACATTTTTATTTTTGAAAGAGTGCATATTTGCTACCCTTTAGGTAGGAACATGAGTTCATAACAAAGAGGGTCTTTAATACACTGGCTTTTGAGTCCCAGAAACTAGATTGTATTGGACTAAAGTGTTAAATCCCCTTAATTTCTCTCTCATTGGTACATGATGTGTCTGGGATAGCATCTTATAAATATGGTGTCTTAATTACATCGCAAAAGGCACCTAATACATGGTATAGAGAAGGATAGTTGCTCAGTCGGGATGCTCTTTCATTTTTGCTCTTGGTTTAACCATACAGGCCGTTTTTAACGATACCACCAAAGATTCTTAGATTTGCATTACACACAATATGCAAATTGAAAGCTGTAGCCTGGTTGGGAAATGGTTTGACAGATACATGCCTGCCATACACCATGAAGTATGGATGCAGAAGCATGAATTTTGTACTCAAGGTGGCAAATTTCAGTGCTGTCGTTTAGCTTTTGTTGTAGCATAAGTCGAGTGAACCTTTGCATTCCACCTCATCCATCTTTTTCTTGGCATGTTCTGTAACTGGTATACTTTTGTCTTGGTATTTTTCCTCTGCATCTCATTTCCTCTTTATTTGTTTTTGATTTGCTTCTGTTTCGTTCAAGCAAGCCTGCCTTAATGTGATTTAGTGTGCTATCAAGAGACCACCTCTCACACTGCTGAAACGGAGCACAATCGAGTATTCATGCCACTGTGCTGTCTGACATGTGAGACGTCAGTTTGACCCCGTCCCTTGCGTGAACTTAAAAACTTATCTTGGCCTTCACCTTCTCAAAAGGAGTTGGAGAGGGCAGGTTTTGCCTTGGTTTGTTTTTTTTGTTTTTTAAAGTAGAAAACAATCATAAAAACATTGAGGCACTTTTTTCATTTATAAGAGTTGCAGAAAGTTGATTGCTTATTGTCGCCAAAGTCGTTTTCTTTTACACAGTGCATGTGTATATAAGGTACTTGGTTTGTTGTGCCATACGGTTATTTTTCTGTTTAGAATATTGTTCATTTTTGTTTGTGTAATTGTTATTGCTATTGGGGTGGCTGGGTTTTTAAATATCTTGCCTAGTGGAGGTTGTGGATGTGGTCTAGATAATGACAGTGATTTGATTTGCAGCCACATAGACACACTGACCGATTGTCAGAAAGAGCTCGGATCGTATTAAGTTTAGTTAATTTACATTTGGGTTTTTTTCATGTTGTGTAATTTAAGCAAAAGGAAATGGGTTGAATATTAGAAATATTGAAATACTTTATTTTCCAGAAGTAGTTGTTTTTTATTTCCTCAGGATCTTTTGAATTAATTTTTTTTTTTTTATTATGAGTCTTTTATTAGTGTGAATTATTGCACTGCCTGGTGTTGTTTTAAAAGCATTTTTTGTTTGTTTGTAGGTGTGATTGTTTTTTTTTCTTCTTTTTGTTATGTATTGTGTACTTTTGATTCCTTGTTGCCTTAAATTTGAATACATCCTCATGTGCTTTATCATTTTGTGCTCTTTGAATCTTTATTTCCACCGTTTAGGTTTATTTATTGCATGATTGAGTTGAATTGTTTTGTCATCTGAAAAACAGTTTAGTTTGTCCTCTACAAATGCACAACTTCTTGGACAATAGCCAAAGACCACATGGAGGCCTTTCGTTGTGTCCTCCATCCATTCATGTGTATTGCTCCATGCCACATAAACTGCTGCATTTACTCGGGATGTAGTTTATCTGTTAATGTTAGTCGTGTTCTGCTACCTGTCCCCTCTTGAACCTCCTCCCTCAGAACTGTAGAGAACATGGGAACTGGTGAAATAGTACTGGAACGGTTAGCACCCACACGGTCTTGAGAGAAGGCTTCTGAAGTGGGAACTGCAAATTGATGCTGTTTCTTTTTAATAAATGTGCTATTTTATCTAACTGGCCTTGAGGGTATTTTTAATGAGCTCTTTTTCATTGTTTCATTTATAAGATTCTGTTAACAATCATAGTTCAGGTCAAGATTATAGAATTGATTTAAAGTTATTATTAAATAAATAATATATAAATTAACGTGTATGCCTGATAAGTCAGGGACCCCTGGGATTGATTGGGTTGCATCCTCAATCAAGTCCAGTCCTGCTTTTTTTATTATAATTTTTTTGCACTTTCTCCAAGTAACAGCCTTTGGTGTGTTTGTAGATGTGCCTAAACTGCAGCCACATCCTGGACTGGAAAAGAGAGAGGAAGAGGAGGAGGAAGAGGACGACGGGGAGGGGGGAGAAAGCGAAAAAAAGAGCACCTCCACCTCTCCCAAGAATCCAGTTCGGTCCGGGCCGCGCACCCCCAACCCGTACGCCACTGATAACAGCAGCCTGATGTTCCCTATTCTAGTGGCGTTCGGGGTCTTCATCCCAACCCTCTTCTGCCTCTGCCGCCTGTGAGGGGAACAAGTGAACGAGAGGGAGAGAGAGGAGAAGCGACGGACATCAGGCTGTGAAGGGGTGGGGGGAGGGGCACAACGAGGGATGCACAACTGTGGGGAAAGGCAGAATATAGACTGACATTACAACAGATGGAGAGAGAGAGCAAAAGGCGGACGAGAGACATGCAGAAACAAGAAGGTTTCAGATATTGCTGGGTGACCCGGAAAATACAAGGATTTCGAGCGCGAGTTCATTTTATGTGTGTGTTTGTGCTTGTGTTCGTACACGTTTGATGCTAATTTTAGTTTGAGGAGATCCTGAGAGATACTGATTAAATGCACTTGCACACACATATGCAGCAGGACTAACCACTTTACAAACCTGGTTTGTCTGGTCTAGCAGGAGATGGAGCTGGAGACACTCCTAGATCACGTGTCCCAACTCATGGAAAGTTATTGGCTAGGAGTGTTTTCTGATCAGCGGTGGCACTGATCTGCTGTTTTTTGGCCTCTGGTGGGAGGCAGAAATGGTACATGAATTTTCAGAACCTGAGTTTGACTCCTTGATCATTTGGTTAATGCATCTAAATCTCAGTGGCAGATCATAAAGTGATTTGAGACCTTGGTTTCTAATTACCTCACGTTTTATTTCCCTCACATTCACTCATTCATTTCCTGCGGCTTCATTTCTTTCTTTGATTTAAAAAGCATAAATATTCAAAATTGTCTGGTGACTTGCTTTCTCATTCTTCAGTTGCATATTTTCAGACCACAGCACCATGTCTTTGAATCTCGAACTGCACAAGGGAGATATAATTATTTTTCCCATTTACAGGGACTTTTTGGTCTCTGAATAACCGCATGTGTTCGGTATTTAATAAAACATTTTTATTTTTGAAAGAGTGCATATTTGCTACCCTTTAGGTAGGAACATGAGTTCATAACAAAGAGGGTCTTTAATACACTGGCTTTTGAGTCCCAGAAACTAGATTGTATTGGACTAAAGTGTTAAATCCCCTTAATTTCTCTCTCATTGGTACATGATGTGTCTGGGATAGCATCTTATAAATATGGTGTCTTAATTACATCGCAAAAGGCACCTAATACATGGTATAGAGAAGGATAGTTGCTCAGTCGGGATGCTCTTTCATTTTTGCTCTTGGTTTAACCATACAGGCCGTTTTTAACGATACCACCAAAGATTCTTAGATTTGCATTACACACAATATGCAAATTGAAAGCTGTAGCCTGGTTGGGAAATGGTTTGACAGATACATGCCTGCCATACACCATGAAGTATGGATGCAGAAGCATGAATTTTGTACTCAAGGTGGCAAATTTCAGTGCTGTCGTTTAGCTTTTGTTGTAGCATAAGTCGAGTGAACCTTTGCATTCCACCTCATCCATCTTTTTCTTGGCATGTTCTGTAACTGGTATACTTTTGTCTTGGTATTTTTCCTCTGCATCTCATTTCCTCTTTATTTGTTTTTGATTTGCTTCTGTTTTGTTCAAGCAAGCCTGCCTTAATGTGATTTAGTGTGCTATCAAGAGACCACCTCTCACACTGCTGAAACAGAGCACAATCGAGTATTCATGCCACTGTGCTGTCTGACATGAGACGTCAGTTTGACCCCGTCCCTTGCGTGAACTTAAAAACTTATCTTGGCCTTCACCTTCTCAAAAGGAGTTGGAGAGGGCAGGTTTTGCCTTGGTTTGTTTTTTTTGTTTTTTAAAGTAGAAAACAATCATAAAAACATTGAGGCACTTTTTTCATTTATAAGAGTTGCAGAAAGTTGATTGCTTATTGTCGCCAAAGTCGTTTTCTTTTACACAGTGCATGTGTATATAAGGTACTTGGTTTGTTGTGCCATACGGTTATTTTTCTGTTTAGAATATTGTTCATTTTTGTTTGTGTAATTGTTATTGCTATTGGGGTGGCTGGGTTTTTAAATATCTTGCCTAGTGGAGGTTGTGGATGTGGTCTAGATAATGACAGTGATTTGATTTGCAGCCACATAGACACACTGACCGATTGTCAGAAAGAGCTCGGATCGTATTAAGTTTAGTTAATTTACATTTGGGTTTTTTTCATGTTGTGTAATTTAAGCAAAAGGAAATGGGTTGAATATTAGAAATATTGAAATACTTTATTTTCCAGAAGTAGTTGTTTTTTATTTCCTCAGGATCTTTTGAATTAATTTTTTTTTTTT